CATACACACATACTATGGTACAGTATAGTGATGTGCAAAGAACATGGTATCATATCTGTTTTTGCTAGTAGAGAGAGCATTTAACATTATGCTACATGTCTGTAGTTCATTATTAGTGTTGACAGGTGTGTGAGGAAGGACTGCTTGTGCTGAGCTGCTGCACGACTGTAAGATCACAGTTCACATGTTTACAGTTCACACACACACACACGCTGCAGCCCATATTTTAATTTTATATTTATATATTCAAATATAGTTTTTTTTCATATTTTTCATCATTGCATCACATTACCTCCTTAAGGACTACAGTAGGTTTATTTTTTGTTAGATTTGTCAGAAGATCTCAGACTTTTAAACCAATTTTCATGTTTTTTGTATAGTAAACAGTTGGTAAAAGTAAGACGGGCATTTGTAGAAATATCAGAATGGAATAATTTTTCTAATAAACATCTTGAAGTGTCATGACCTTGAACTGAAGGCATCCTTTTAGGCATCCATTAACTCCTTAAAATCCCATTAAGATGAAACAATGCCATTTAAAATGTAAAGACATTCTGTCTAATATAAAAGTAAATATTTGATTTACTCTTTCAATTTTGGAAATGGAAAAGGCACCTGTTTTTATAGAATGACATTGACGGCAGGAGTGTGTTGTGCATTTGGGCTTTTTGTGGAAAGAAGCTTTAGATGCGCTGCGTCCTGTCCTGAGAGACCCAGAGGGGCCGGAAGAGAGGTTTGGAGAGGAGAGGGCGTGAGGTCATCGCTCACGACTGACTGGCCTTTTCATTTGAAGGAATGGAACTTTTCTCTCGCTCTATTTCTGTCTCTATCTGTTGATCGCCTGACAGAGTCCCGGGAGGACGCTGCTGTGAGCCATGTGTGTGTGTGTGTGTGTGTGAGAGAGAGAGTGTGTGTGTGTGTGTGAGTTGCAGGGTTGTGTAAATTTGTCAGCATTTTTGACCGCTGCCTTGTGACCAGCTCAGACGCTGTTGTTGTCACTGTGGTGTTGGCGTCTGGTTTGTTTGGATTGGCACTGTAGAGAGAGACGGGAATAGAACTGGCGTGGACCGAGAACCACAGAGAAACCGGCTATTTTGGAATTGCATACTAGCATACTACTCATTCTGTTTCTGCAGTATGCATACTGCTTATAGTTATTATAATCATAGAATACTTTGATAAACCTACATGAACATCTATATTTTCAGAGACAATTCCATATGAAGTAAAATCAGCTCCAATCTCTTTCCTGACTTATTAACTGCACTAACAAACATTATTAAGACAATTTTTTTTTAATGCAATGATGTAAAATGACTGCAGTCACTGAACTATTCATGCATATGTATAAACAATAACATACTACTGTTTGAAACATTAGGCAAGCTTGCTATTTTGCATAAATTCAAAAATTATGTGCAGTAATGCATTATACAGTATACTCTGCTGTATACATTATGCAGTATGTTTCCAAACGGTTCAAACAGTAGTATGCTACATTGTCACATGATCTCATTATGTTTCATCATGTGTAAGTCTGCAAGTGGCATCCTGTTATCTTGACAATAAATACAATTACTAGCATTTTTACTTCAAACTTTCAGCCATCCAATCAATAAATTAGTTAAATGATAAAAATGACTGCTAATACTGTTTGGACTTATTTGTCACTTTAGAAATAGAAAGTCAAGTTTAGTTATTATTAGATATGTGACCCTGGACCACAAAACCAGTCTTAAGTGTCAATTTTTCAAAATTGAGCTGAATAAATAAGCTTTCCATTGAAGTATGGTTTGTTAGGATAGGACAGTATTTGGTCGAGATACAACTATTTGAAAATCTGGAATCTGAGGGTGCAAAAAAATCTAAATACTGAGAAAATCGCCTTTAAAGTTGTCCAAATGAAGTTCTTAGCAATGCATATTACTAATCAAAAATTAAGTTTTGATATATTTACGGTAGGAAATTTACAAAATATCTTCATGGAACATGATCTTTACTTAATATCCTAATGATTTTTGGCATAAAAGAAAAATATATCATGTTGACCCATACAATGTATTTTTGGCTGTTGCTACAAATATACCCCAGCGACTTAAGACTGCTTTTGTGCTCCAGGGTCACATATGTACACTAGACTACTGGTCAAACGTTTGGGAGAACTGGAATTTTTTTAATTGTAATAACATTTCACAATATTACTGTTTTTTACTGTGCTTTTGATCAAATAAATGCAGTTTTGGTGAGCAGAAGAGACTTCTTTTTCTAAAATTAATTATTCCAAACTTTTGACTGCCTGTGTATATGCACAGTATTTTGTGCATTCCATACAGAAAAAGAGGAATGTGATAGTATGCTGTTCCAAATGGAGAAAACAAGTGAGCCCTAGTGATTGTTCCCCCTGAGTGAACGCGAGAGAAGGAGGAGATCAGACACAGACCCCCGTGAGACGTCCCACCGCTGGCCATCAGCTGGCATCGGGACACATGAACATGCTGCTGTAACGCAGTTGAAACAGTGCTATGCTACAGTCAGTCGTACACAGCACAACACATCTACTGAGAGATGCTACAGCATTGATGCTGATCCATTCAGATCACAGCCGCAACATCACTCGCATTTACACAACCACTGGATGCTTCTCTACTCAAAAATATGGCAAATTATGTCCGGGATGTTTCTAGGGAACATCATTTGCTCTATTTCAGCTTGCTTTGTCATGGATGTTTCTCTTATTTTTTGGGGAAGAATTTTAAGCACACTTTATAGTGTTTCCAGTATAAGACATGAGGTTTAATTTACCATTAACAAGACTTCACAGAAAGGTTTTTGAGAAAAAAAATGTCAGTATTTAATCTGAAATATATTTGACGTTAAATACCAACATATATTCAATGAAGTGGCGTAAAAACTTTCTTTTCTATTCTATTAAATTATAAAAATGATGAAACTCTAAAGCAATGACTACTGAGGTACAAAAATGTATGTTTTCTCCAATTTACTAAATATTATGTTTGTTCGATAAAGATTAATATGTAACATTATATTTTTAATAATTTAATGTATGTATGTATTTAATTATTATTATTATTATTAGTCCTGCTTCCATTATCTTAGTACACATTTTTCCTTCGCCTAATATACAGTGGGTACGGAAAGTATTCAGACCCCCTTAAATTTTTCACTCTTTGTTATATTGCAGCCATTTGCTAAAATCATTTAAGTTAATTTTTTTTCCTCATTAATGTACACACAGCACCCCATATTGACAGAAAACACAGAATTGTTGACATTTTTGCAGATTTATCAAAAAAGCATTATATTATTTCAAAAGTTATGTATGTTTAATATTGATTAACAGTATATATTTTTATATTACATGTTATATTTTTATTTTAATAGTATATATTTTATTATTATTATTATTATTATTATTTACTCCTGTTTCTATTTTCTCACAAATTGTTAGTTTTTTTCATCTTTAACGTCAAATGCAAAAGCAGTGTCTCAGTATTTATGATATGTATATTGACAAATCTAGCATTCACTTTGATTAATGAGTGAATTGTGAGTATAGGCTGGTTTCACACTTGTCAGCTAAACATCTTAATCGATATAAATGATTACGTTTAGATGGATGGGTGAGGTTAGAGTGAGTGAGTGATCCTGTAGTGTCATCCTTTTGATAAAATAAGAAGAAGAAAATCATCATTATTTTCAGAAGATTCTAGTGATCATCTGGTCAACTAATGGCAGGTGAAGTTTCGCCTCGTGTCAAGAGTCAGTGACTTATTATTTTAAAAGAAGGCTCAGTCTTTCTGCTTTGCGAGCAGATGTGTAATTCAGCAGCAAATCCCTAATTCAGAAAACAAAAAAAAGATGTGCATGCGATAGTGAATACAAAAACACAACAGACAGCATCAAAACAAATGACAATTACCGTCTCATGACAGCGGCCCCAGGACAGGGCTGTAATTTCATTATTGCTTTAGTTTCTTTGGAAACCAATGAGCTAATAAGGATCTTTTTTTTTTCTTTTGGTCTCACATGAAAACTATAATGCAGAAGGCAGTAGGCTTGCTGCGATAGACAGTGTTTTCGGTTATACCGGTGTTAAGCCGCAACACCGGTTACGTCATTTGCCTACCGCGGCACCGCCCCGCCACCGTCGTTTAGATTTTTTTATAGTAACAAGTAGCTAGTTTAGCCTAGTTCAGTTAGAGGACAGACACTTTAAAAAACTAAACGCTCAATGCAGCGTGCCAAACCCTGCGCGAACGACAGTGCACCACGGCGCAGGAGTCAGATTTTATTTATCACGTGAGGAGAGTGAGTCGAGCTGAAATGTCATGCCTCCAAGCTTTCTTATTCGTTTTGCTAATAAACGTTCTATGTTTCTTATTTATTTGGTTCCACAGTGTTTGCTGATTTTCAGTTTTATATACCTATTTAAACTTTGTGTAGGATAAGTAATTTGTTATTTTATTGGGCATAGGCCTATATGGTGTATTTTTATTCGTTTTGTTAATAAAAGTTCTGAGTTTGACGTTGTTGTTGCTGGAATTGAATCAACGCTGAATTGCCCCTAATTTGAAAGTGAAAGTAAAACGTGCACGGCGCTTTTTCAAGCTATTTGAAAGCCAATAAATCCGAGGAAAAGAGGGAAAACTCAAACAAACAATTGCTTGACGCCGAATTGCGGCAATTCAATTGCCACTAATTTGAAAGTGAACGTAAAATGCGCACCGCACTTTTACAAGCCATTTGAAAGCGAAGAATAGAGGGAAACTCAAACGAACTAACACCCCCCCACCCCAACGGTGATACCGGTATTACCGGTGTCGTCACTCGTCGATTAACCGGTGGGAAAATTTCCTCACCGTCACAACCCTAGAAGGCAGGTGAATCAAAATGACATGAGCTGGAAAGTTAGGTCCTCAAGGCAATCATTTTTACATAAATGTTTACGTCACTAATATTTATGTTTTGTTTCATTTTAGGAAAATGACATCCAGTACTATGACTCCAAAGCTGACTCGGATGTTGTAAGTGACCGATATTTTTATTTGTTTTGTACTGTTTCAAATGAAAACTCTTTGTTTTTGTGCGCTGTCATCAGGAGTAGTTTCTTGTCTGTTTTTTATTTAATAGCTGTAGAGGTTTTGCCTAAATCTTTTTCCTCTGATCATGAAGTGTGTCGTCACATCAGGAAAAAATTTGAGTTAGGCCACAAATAGCTCGTAACATTATTTTGTATATATAGTATGTTTGTACTAGTGTACTAAGGAATTACTTTATTATTATTTCAAAAGTTATGTGTTTAATATTGATTAACATTATATATTTATATTCTATAATAGTTTAATAATATTTATGTATTTATTCAATGTTATGTATTATTATAATTATTTTTATTATATGAAAAGTAATCATAAAATGTTTTATAAAAAAGTAAAAAGTTTGTTTATACTAATCTACTAAGGAAGTATTTTGAATTAATCTGTTATTATTTTTATTTGTTTATTTACTGTTGTTATTGTTATTATTTCTATAAAACTATATAAAAAATAATGCTAAATGCAGTTTTGTTGCTAGTAAAAATATTTATATATCTATATATTTTTATTACATATTTGACAATAGGCTTGTTTAGTTTCCTTGCATAAATCATTGTGTCAATTTAAAGCATGTCAATGAGTTTGTCAAAGAAACATCCATGATTTTCGGAGAAACGTGAGACGATGTTGATACTTAAGTCTCCAAAGAGCAACCTTTGAGCAACTAAGTTCTCCTCTGGGACACAAATATACACGTCACCGTATTTTTATGTATCATATACTCAGTAAAAACCTTTTCATTGTATAAGTGAAAGGTCACGGTGACTCTTTTCTGCGGCTGATTGATTTCACATGGTGGAGAAGGACGCGGTTATATCAGGCCGGATGAGTAGATGAGGAATGGAGGTACAATAAGAGAGAGGAGGAATAGTAGAGCCAGAGAAGTCATAAATCAGAGAGTGATTTTGTGCAGTAGAAGCACGGCAGGCGTGTGTGATTAATGATTGGGCGCTTTAGGGGCCGTCAACGTCTCTAATTGGAGTACATCACTCATCATTAAAGGGGCCAAGGGGACGGCGGCCCACCGACACCCTCGTGACCCCTGCCGGCCCGAGAAACGCAGGGTCAGAAAGTGTGCTGAGCTCGATTTCTTCATATCCGCGACTGCAGTCACACACCTGCACATCTCCAGAAGCACTCTGAACCAATATCAGTACAGCTTCTACTGTATTAATGCCATTATTTATCAATTGTGCAACTTTAGAGACATAAAAATGTTTTGAGGTTTTATAGTTTGGTTTTATTATATTTATAATTAATTAGATTAATTAAATATGTTTAATAGCATTACAGTTAACATATTTACCTTATTTATCAACATAATAGTTTCTGGGTGATTTCTAAAGACTATCAGGAATCATTACTTTTATTTGTTTCAATAATAAACAAATTTGTTTGCCATTGTTCATTACATTTTGTCCAGTTGTCAGAGGATTGGCAAAGATGATTGGCAAAGATGATGATGATGATTATTATTATTATTATTAAAAATTAATTAATAATAATAATAATAATGTTTATTTATGTATTTGTTAGTATTTGTTTTATTACATTTATTACTATAAATAATAATAATAATAATAATATAAAAGACAAATAGTAATAAAAATAATAAAACATTATTATTATTAGTAGTAGTAGTATCATTATTATTATTCATTCAATTTTGTCCAGCAAAAAACTATTTATTTATTTATTTCATTTTAGTACTTTTAATACATTAATAATAATAATAATTAATTTTTATTATTTTTATTACTATTTGTATCTGAATTTGTACATATGTAAAAGTGTTTAAATTTTCAATATATTGATATTGTTTCAGTGTCTATTCAAATGTAAAGGCTTCACTTATGAATATCTATGAGTACGAATGCAATAACAACAGAGGAGTTGCCGTTGCAAGAAGAAGTGTTTTAGTCGACAAAGTCAGACAAAAGCTGTTTGGTTTTTTTCTGACTGGCAGTGGAAATCAGGTCCATCAGCTCAAGCTGAGCGTTCTCTTTTTATCATCACAGTCTTCTCCATCTATTTCATCTCTGTCGTCTCGTTCGGCAAACTGTGGCACGGTGCCATTCCATTCCCTCCCACTCTCCTCCTCTTCCATGCTGTTTTGCGATGCCCTTTGGAGCTTTGCTCTCCTCCACCTACAGCAGGAAAGATCTGCTCGTTTTCCTGCCCTGGAAGTTGTGATCTTCAGTCCTGTCTCCATCACGAGCCATGTGTGTGCGTGCGTGCATGTGCATGTGCGTGTGTGTGTGTGCGTGTGCGTGTGTGTGTGAGTGTGTGTGATCTTCCTCAGACCCACCGAGGAAACCTTTGGCTTGATGTGTCGCAGGAAACTTTTATGTGTTATTTTTGAGATGTGCTTCAGATACTTTGTAACAGGAAAATTCAAAGAAAAAAAAAGTGCAGAAAATGTACAGTACTTTTAAAAATCCAGATGGTAAACTGATGCCTAAAAGAGTTCAAAACCAAAGAAAATAAATTGTAAATTGAAATTCGTAGTACACCATCATAATCCAGATGGTGCAATGGCTTCATCTTTAATTGATTACGTCACCATTGAACACACAAAGTTATTTACATTAAAACACCAACATCTGCCTGCTGGATGTCAGTTGCCAAGCGCTTTGATGTACAAATAACAGATTAGAGGTTCACTAATGCCATGTACATGCTAGAGGAGAGACAAGTCATCTAAGTGAATACAGATTTAGATACAGCATAGATGTTTTGTGTTGTTTCTTGTGTTGCAGTCTCTCTAGCACAACATGCGTATGTTTTGAATTTAAAGGTCCCCTGAAGTGCCTTGAAACACGCAGCCTTATTCTATGTGGTGACATAATTTCAACTGAAACAGGAAGGAGAGACAAGCTAAGTGAATACAGATTTAGATACAGCATAGATGTTTTGTGTTGTTTCTTGTGTTGCAGTCTCTCTAGCACAACATGCGTATGTTTTGAATTTAAAGGTCCCCTGAAGTGCCTTGAAACACGCAGCCTTACTTATT